TATATATATATATATATATATATATATTAAAACATATTTGTGTCAAAACAAAAACGGTGCGAATCAATCTTGTTGGCAAATAGCGTAAATTAAATAAAATATCGACATATTTCTAAACACTAAATCCAGGGTACAGTTCAACTATTAAAAGTTAAATTATTTAACACGGCCTTGGATTATTTCAAGTTCTCAATATGCAACAGTATACATAAGTTGATTTCGACCAAGAATAATGTCATCATAAATACTGTTACCTTGTCTGACCTATTGCCATTTTGAAATATAATATCCTAGTTAACAGATAAGTATTTTATTTTTTGAGTTTCTACGGTGTTTTTAATGATTTATAGCCAGAAATAATGACTAGTGTAATTATTATTTGGCTATCTGTGCTCTGCCCCACCACGGGTATCGAAACCCGGTTTCTAGCATTGTAAGTCCGCAGACATACCGTTGTGCCACTGGGGGGGCACTGCAATTGGTAAAATAAATTTGTTAATGAATATCATTCAAGATGAAATACAACTGACTGGATATATACAGTAGAATTTTCTGACGAATATTAAAAGTAAATAGGAATTATAAAATGAAGTATTTTTTCAAAACAATGTCTCAAGATAAATTTTGAAATCTGAAATCACAAAAAAATTATTCGAATTATTTAAAGCCAAAACCAGATACTGTTTAGTAAGTTTGTTCTAATTTTCACGTAATTTGGTTTACTATTTCGACACTGAGGAGAAAAATCCAGGCACATCAGTGGCATTGGAAAGGGTTAAACAGGTAACTGCCATTAACACAAAACACAGATGCTAACCAAAGCAAGAATGGACAGAGTAACAACATGTGAAACGTCAGCTTCTACTGCCACATCACAAGCATCAGGTAAGCAAGTTGAAAATTAGCAGCTGGGTTTTAATGTACCATGTTAATACAAGTGCCAATGAAGCTGCAACTGTCACTAGTGTATTGTTGGCAGCGAAAGTTTAGTCAACTGATTATTAATATTAATAATTTATCATAACTGACCCCCCTCCCCCGCCCAAATATTTCCAGATGACCCTTATAAAAATTTTACCCTGAACAAGGCAAGAAACCTGATGATGACAAAACCTTGTCGAAACGTTGTACATTTGCTGTCATGTTAAACTTATATTAAAGTTTTTCTTCATTACCCATTTAAGCCGTCTCCAGCCATTATAAGGCAAGAATGTTATATTTGATTTCGGGTGTCGTCTTTGTTTGTATTGTATTATCATGAAACGCGAAATTTACAGATCCAAAAGCACTGTAGTATCATACTGAGGTATTGGTCTGATGAGAAATGGAAAGTCCTCGTGCAATTCTTGATGTTCAGGCATGCTAAAGGGACTAACGTTGCCCAATAGATACTCGATACTTTGAAGAAAGATGTGTATGAAATTCCACTTGTAAAACTTCATAATTTCTGCTCTGATGAACCAAATGTTAAGCTATTTGGAATCATATAATGAACAACTAAGGAAATGGAATTCCAGGGCACATGCAGTGGTACACAGTGCTTTTTGGAATGGAATGTCTGCATTTGTATCTGAGGCTGAAGAACTTGTAATTTATCAGCATTTACCTCATGATGACAAAACCTTGTCGAAACATTGTACATTTGCTGTTATGTTAAACTTATATTAAAGTTTTTCATTACCCATTCAAGCCGTCTCCAGCCATTATTTGTAATTTACCTGTTCCAGTTTTTCCAACATTTAACACATTACAAAAAAGAGGAGGATGTTCAATTTAATGGAAAACTTTTTCTTAGGCATGTACAATGTTACAAGTAGAAGCTTGTATTGTGAAAAACTGGAGTTCAAATATTTTATTTCCTGAGTTGCGAAAGTCTAAGTGATGGATGGAAACTGAAAAGAATAAAAAATATTTAATAATTTTCAAGAATCTGAATTCTCCTACTAGGAGAAACAAGCTCAATCACTGTCTTCTGATCAGTCAAACCCAGTTTTAGGGCTTATTTTAACAAACCGTAATCGATAAATAATAACAGTTCAAAGCAGGTTCTTGAATCATCAACTACAAAATATTGGATCAAGCTACCTAACATAACTGCTCTTTCTATTAATGTGAAAGTCACCACGAAGATACCATGTCTTGCAGAATCAAAACACCCATGATAAGTAATACCATCCACTGAACAGTACTACATCTCAAAGAGCTCATCCATGTGAAAATGGTTTCAAGCATACTTTAAACCATCAACAGGTACAACCTACAACTGTAGCAACAAAATCATATTTATCAAATACACAGCACTGTCCCAAGAGCTACAACCTACAGATGTAGCAACAAAATCATGTTTATCAAATACACACAACATTGTCTCAACAGCTACAACCTACAAATGTAGCCATAAAATCATGTTTATAAAATACACAGTACTTTCTTAATAGCTACAACCTACAAATGTAACCATAAAATCATGTTTATAAAATACACAGTACTTTCTCAACAGCTACAACCTACAAATGTAGCCATAAACATCATGTTTATAAAATACACAGTACTTTCTTAACAGTTACAACCTACAAATGTAACCATAAAATCATGTTTATAAAATACACAGTACTTTCTCAACAGCTACAACCTACAAATGTAGCCATAAACATCATGTTTATAAAATACACAGTACTTAACAGTTACAACCTACAAATTTAGCCATAAAATCATGTTTATAAAATACACAGTACTTTCTCAACAGCTACAACCTACAAATGTAGCCATAAACATCATGTTTATAAAATACACAGTACTTTCTCAACAGCTACAACCTACAAATGTAG